AACTCCAACTACATATAATATGGGATCAACACTGTCCCATTTACGAGGGGCTGGTATCTCCACCCCCAAACACACGAATTTTGTCCGTATTTACGTAAAACTTGACGGTATCTGTCCCTAAAGTTGAAGACGTTGTGTGATAATAACTTTTTTATGTGTTTATGTTTGAGTTTCGAGATTTAGTTGGTTTTATGTTTAATTTCAATAGTAATATGGGGTTATTGTGTAATTATATGTTATTAAGCTATAAATCAAATGAGTTAGCGTAAGCGTTTTCAATCATATCTGATACCTAGCGTGTAAAATCTAATCCTTTGTCTAAAACAGCCGGAACATTTATATTTCTAATTTGTTTTCTCCAGAATACAAATAGTGAATGGAAGTCTTATTGCCTTAAGGCATATTCTCTAATAGTCAACTATAGGGTGGTGCAGACAAATCAAGTGGTTGGTACGAAGCCAGGACATACATAGTCTCTCAAAAGAAAATACGAAAAAATAAAGAAACAATCACATGAATTAAAAAAACGAAATAACAACCCGTTCACAACTATCTTTTAAAATAAACAAAAATATATTGGAACAACCTACCACTCCTAAAGAAATTAAAACAAAACAGTTGAAAAATCACATCACTTATTTACGAAACAAAAAATAGACCTAAAAACTAGCACGTATGAATATTCAACAGCGTCCTTCACGTTAAAAACACCAATTAACAACGCTACCATTTAGTTAATTAGCAACAAAATGCTTTTAAAACAAAAATTATTCACCCTAATTCTATGTAATCTGTAAATTCACAAAGTATATTTTTTTTACTTAATTAGTAAGCTGTCAAAACAAGGATGAACACAGATTAGGTAGAAAAAAAAACTTTTCCAAGATGGCGCGCTACAATGACAGATCGTTTACACAGATACAAAATGTCCCGCCACTGTAAATTAAGATGGGGAAAGAAGGAAAAGGCGCGAACAAATGTTTATTCTTACAGATGTTGAGTTTTTATGGTGTTTCCTTGTAAATGGCGAGATTACTTTTTTTATTTTGGGGCGGGAGACACAGTCACTGCTAAGATTTTCAGCTTTTGTTTGTGATACTGTGTTTATGCCATCAATTTTTTTATTTTTGGCAGCTGATGGAGTGCTGAGTGGCGTTGTATGCATTTTAAAGATATATTTTTTTTTTGGAAAAATTACAGTTTCTTACAGAAGCTCTAAAACGAAACACTCTACCTAATTGGAATAAAACTGGTAATAATCCATTTTAGAAAGACTTTTCAAGAAATTTGTCTATTCCGTGTCCTAACTACCATACTCAGTGTTATTAACTAATCATCACTCTTTAGCAATTGTTTTCCAAGCAAAATCATTACTAAGAAATAGTTTTAAGTATCTCTGAGTATGATAATAGTACTAAATAAAACTCAGCTCGATGCAGAGATGACTACTAAGAAATATACAACTGCACAAACGTTCAAAAGTCGCTATTTTGCTAATAAATGACTTGACTTTTGACACACACACACACATCATACCGCTGCTTATCCAATCCAGTATAAGAAGCCTAATCATTACACACACACACACACACACACCACAAAAATCATCAAACGAATCATTAGAAAAGCACGAAGAAAACTTTCCACCCCTAACATAAACAAGGGCCATCCAATTCGTAATTTGGTACATTCTTACCCCATACGAAGGGTTTAGGGGTGTCCGCAGATAAAAGCCATGTTCTCTAAGACAGCTGATTACATGGGATGTCGTGGCATTACTTAAGATGTAAGGGTTCCGTTTTACGTCACTGTTTGTGTTTAGAAACCCGTAAGGACTTGTGATTTCTTGTCCAGTGTGTTTTGCGAGTTTTTATTTTAGTTCTTGTGTGTGTGTGTGGTTTTTTAGTTTATTTAGATTGATTTATTAACGTGATAGTTGGTGGCTAAAAATATGAAACTGGAAAATGAGACGAACTGAAATAACTATTAATATTAGAAGTCTTGTCTTATCCAGACAATTAAGAGGAGAAGTGAGAGAGGTAGAAAATGGAGGAAAATAGTGTACCGCGGACTGACCCTGAGCAGAAGAAAGAACAATGTCGTTTTTAGGCAGTAAGAGAGGACTCAGTAAGAGATGAGAAGGAGTAAAGGATCACTCCTTCTCATCTCACTTAAGACGAGAGGAGATTCGGTGTTTTCCCTTTTCAAGAAAAGCACAACCAATAAACATAGAGCGATAAAAACACCCAGTTCTCACAACACAAGAATTGAATCCTAGTATGAGATCCAGGAATCCAACCCATAACATGTGTACTTACATTTAGTAATCAACTATGCTATTCTTTTCTCTCACATTAACCAAACCCACTAGGTACACTGAAACCGCATTAAAATCAGTCCATCAGTTTTGAAGATAAATAGACTAATTAGTTTTTTCAACTACATCTCACTCCAAACACATACCTATATATACCATCTCCGTGAAATCGTGAGTAAAAAACTCCAATGTTATTTAATAAAAACAGTTTAATAGTAAAATTTACAAGCGTTTTAAAATTCGTTAGCTTCGGTAGTCTGCTAATAGTCTCCAATATTAAGGCAAACTTCACCGTACTTACACCGACCAGATTTAAACCGATCTTATGGGTATAATGCTCCGTTTAGATGCTATAGTAACTAGCTTGTAACCGTGGCAAGTGAACTTGAATACAAATTAATTAAATGTTTACAACAAAATGTAAAAACAAATGATGTCTTGAGTGGTTCATACAAATTAATGATTATTAGATCATACAAATAAACGTTTTATAACAATCTATAGTAATCATCCTATCTATAAACCAAATTGCAACCTAATCGTACCAGCGGGTTTTGCGTAAAAGGCTAGCAAACATACATTATCACAATCTTTCATATTTATAATAAAGGAGGATTTTGTTGTTTATATTATTATCTCATTAAAAAATAAAGATGTCTATATTTTTTCCTCAAAAGTAATGTCTAATTTACACTTTATAACTAAACATTAAGAATTTATGACCCAACTAACAAATTAATTTGCGAAACAGCCAACAACTGACAGTTGTAAAATAACAATGTTGTTGCTATATTGTTAGACAGCTCACTTTAATGATAGGCAAGTAGCCATCGTAAATTAATTAGGCGTAACTCTTTTTTACAACTCAATTTAGTGTTTCAAACTCAAAAACACCACAAAAAAGGCTAAACAAAACTCAATAACGTTATGTATCCTATAAAATTCCATATTACGTTAGTTTCAAACTAGTCAAAATCAATACTAGTTTAAGCGAATAAAGTTGTATTTTGCTTGTGGGATTAGATTTTAACTAAAACGACGTGATTTCCGTACACCTCTTATATTTGAACTAAAAAAAAAGTTAAGCAGTGTAGACTTGTATATACATAGGTACATAAATATAGCTTCTTATAGTTCGAGTACAATTCTCATTGGACAATACTTCTTCTATACAAATGTGTGTCTATGAAATTTGTATGAAACTCCAAATTATGATGTCATAATATTTAAGCTTTAAATAGCATACTTTTCGTTAAAATTTAACTTAAAACATATCTAAAATTTTTTGTATTAAATACAGATCGATGACTTAAAGTATACTAAGTTATTTTTCAATATTTTATTGTATTGAAACGTCGAATTAATTTATTTTTCACCAAAGAAACTAACCATTTCAATTACACAATCAATTAAAACTAGCCGTTCCACTAGCACAAGCCAGCAGACATTCCAGTCGAGTAACTATCCAGTGTAAACCCGTAAGCTATCTGAGATTAAGTCTACCACAACCGCGCTGGCCGACCGCCGATCGATCCGAGCATTATACTGGCTAGACAAGTGGCCAGTAACTCTCCTGAATAGATTACTGAGTTTAAACACTCCTATATTGTTAGGGCTGTAACAGTGTACTGTTTACTTAGAGTACGGAGATGCCAGGGCTTGCCACGGTCCGTGATAGCGTTCAAGTAATTATTGTTACTTTGATCTCCATAGTTAAGTGTGGGAAAGCCATGCTTAAGTGTGGGAGAGCCATGCTTCGGCACGAATGGGTCGGCTCGACCGGAGTGATACCACGGCCTCACAGAAAACCGGCGTGAAATAACCACTGCGTTGTGTTTCGCCGTGTGAGTGAGGTTACCGGAGGCCCAATCCTTCCCCTTCCTCAATCCCTCCTCAATCCCTAAATCTCCAAATCCCTAATCCCTAAAAGGTCGGCAACGCACTCGTAACTCCTCCGTTGCGAGTGTCCATGGGCGGCGCTGATTGCTTACCATCAGGTAATCCGTCTGCTCGTTTGCCGAGAAGTAACAAAAAAAAAAAGTTATAAGTGAGATTGTCTAGTTGTGATGTAGACTAAGTGGGTCTTACTAAGTCATTTTGTTAGTTTTAAAATTGTAACCCCTGCCGCAATAGTCTGGGAATGTACACTGAGCTATCAACGTCAGTTGTTTTATTCCATTCCTCGTTGATAAGAGACTTGCATTCGCATGTTCTCCTGGTGTTTGTTAAAGAAGAATCACGCGTTTTTTATTTTTATAAGTTTTTCGTTTGGAATGGCCTGTTTGGCCACTAAATCGAGCAATAATGTAGCCTCTCCATAAGCAACCTTTTTATTGATGTGGTAACATGGGGAACACAGACTCTCGTAAAGAATTCCACTTTTCATAACGGTTGTAATGGAAAATTGGAGGTGATAGGAGTAGAGATAGAAAGAGGGATATCCAGCACGAAGCGGTGACGTCTTGCCGATTTACTGAGTAAGGTTAGATAATAAATTTAAATGCATAGAATCTAGTCCTTAAAATATATGTTTCAAGATATTTATTGTGCGACAACAATACTAGATGAAGCTATTGTGACTATAGCGTCAAATACAACAAGCAATTACTCATACATCAATCTAACGAAACAGATTCACAAGTACCAGGCGCACAGAACCTCAAAAGAAGTTATCACAACTCACCTAGACAACATAGCATCGTTCGCATTTCCAAAATGATTAGCAGCCAACGCCGCTTCCAGGACATTGGACTCTCTTCTCGGCTCCGCACGGTTCAAAATCGAACTGATAGAAAAGCTTGTGTATGGCGCACTGCCAGTAGCTTTTTCTTCTTTGTCCTTCTTTAGTTCATAGAAGGGGCTCTTCTGGTCTTTTCTGGAAGGTGAGGAGGTGATATCAGGACTGCTGGCTCCTGATACAACGTTCACTTCGATATCTCGATCGTCTTGAGAAGACACGGGCGAGTCCATCTTGGGAGTTACTGCTTCATTTTATGGTGGCCTGGGAAATATATTTAAATAAGTTAATGATGTTAAAGACATTTTGAAATAGAGATGAATGGTGGGCAATTGGATAAGCATCTTATATTTAAGTGACCACGAGTTTGATGATGATAAACCGTTTCAATCATTGTTTCGTTGTAATAAAACTGTCAAATTTTCAAGTTCAAAATAATGCAAATTACAAGATTGATTTTAATGAATCTATACTAATATTATAAAGAGGCAAAATTTGTAAGCTTGTACGTAGGGGGTAATCTTGAGAACTATTGGTCGGATTCCCAAAATTCTTTTACTTATTGATAGCTACAATGTTCCCGAGTGGCACTGTTTAGGCTATAAAACATCACGCTACACGAAGAAACCGCGCGCGAGTAGCTAGTTACTTATAATACTCATACTCAATACATAAATATCAAAAATTTTCATTAAGCACTTTTTCAAAAAATAATTTAGGGACACACATAATGGCAATTAAAGTTGTTTAAACAAATTTCCAAAATATGTTTAATTATTATGTTTTCAGTACGTTGTCATAATTATATCTCGTACCTACATGAACCTAAAACTAAGAAATCTTATTAAAATCGGATTAGTAGATAACATAATTTCCACTTAGAAATAATTTAAGTGAATCCCATGTATACGCTTTTCTATACTAATATTATAAAGAGTTAAAATTTGTAAGTTTGTATGTAGGGAAAATCTTTGGAACCGCTGGTCGGATTTCCAAAATTCTTTCACTGATAGATAGCTACAATATTCCTGCTATAGGCTATAAAACATCACGCTACGATTAAATGGAGAAGGGCAGCGAGTGAAACCGCGCTAGAGTAGCTAGTCAGTTATAAACTAAACTCGATTAAAAAGGCAGAAGTACCTAATATTCTTAATCCCCAAACTGTAGATAAAATATACATCGAAGCACCCAAAACTATAGCCTAAAACTTGGCTTCATAAGACGTTTAACATGATTAATAATTCAAGACATTAAATGCATTATTGTTCTAAGCTTTATTGGGTCCCTTCCCGGGGGAGAAGTGGGGTAATAATGGGGAAGATTCATCCCCTATTGTTTTGAATAAATAATGAATTATAGAGATTTAAGGATAAGAAAGTATTCTTAGGTAATCACGTTAAAAGATTGTGGAGTTTAAGAGCTACTTTCCACTTTTATTCTTTTTTTAAGAAATGATATTTGATATTGTTTGGGGGAGCATTCTGAGGGAAGATTTTTCAATTTCATTTTGTTTATTTGTTAAATAGGTTTAATATGTTTTAGCTAGAATTGTTTTATTGAATTTCAGTACAGAAATAGTTAGTAATTTAAGGCATTAAATGATGAACAAAATTTTAAATAAGGAATTGTCTTAACGAACGTACGGCATTCTTTTATAAACCAATCATAGAATTTTTAGCTATATTACCTAGCTTCACTGACGAACAGACTGACAGACTACTACCTACTATTCTAATTTGACGTTTCAAAATTACTTATTTATTGTAGGTTTAGTTGGAATAAATGATTTGGACGTTAGACTTTTTTGATTAGCTATATATTATTTTATGGAAACGATTAATGTTTATTCTCACATCATTTTACTAATCACCTTTTATAAACACGTTCGAATAAATAAACACAAAACATAAAAAAATATCGACCAAATGTAATTCAATAAACAAACAAATTTCATTAATAATGACGCAACAAATAGAGAATACGAAAAACACCAATGCCAACGATTCACAATCGAAAAATTGCCATGAGATTTATTTAATGTTTAAAGCACGATATCAGATGGGCCTCGGCCACAGACACACAATACGTCAATTTAATGATAAATGTTTACAAAGTATCGCATGAATTGCCACAAAAACGGCACTAACCGCCGTTGCCAATGGCGAAATGGCACAAACCGACGTTGCCAATAACGAAACGGCACAAACCGACGTTGGCAATGGTAACATGGCAATCATTCGCTGTTGAGCTTTTACTCATCTGCAATGAGATGTGTTTACTGGCCATTTTTATATTTGAACAGTTTAATGTTTGTTTTTTCCTGTGATTTAGTTTTTTTTTTTTTGTAATGAGTCTCCTACTTCTTATTATAAATGTGAATGTCTGTCAGAATGTATGGTTCTATCTTTGTTATTTCCAAATCGCCTAAACTGATTTGGTGGACATTTGGTTGGTATATAGACAAGCGATACCCGGGATATGTATTAAATTTAGGCTGTTGTTTATTAAGGATTTAGGGTCATATTTTGATTTTAATTGATAGAGTGATTGAAGAGGAACATTTATACATATGTATAATAAATAACATTAATTAAATAGAAAATCAGCATTGCATCCATGCAAAGCCGGGGCGGATCGCTAGTAAAATATAATGTTGCAACATTTTACAGCATTTTAATTAATTAAGAGGGTTGCCATAATTAGAGGCACGTGTCCGGTGTACTGATGAAATGATATTACGTATCGGGGGTTGAGTAGAACCCTCAGTTAAAATAGTGAAACGTCTGATGTCAGATGTTTTGTGAAATATTGTATGTGAAAAATTATTAAAATATAAGGAACTACTGGTTGGAAATGTTTTTTTTTCGGTGGTGGATCGTTCAATTACTGATAACTGATATGTATATAACATGACACATTACCATTGAGAAGCAGAGGCAGAGGGATGAAACAGCTGACAATAAAAAAAGTATGTGTATGTATAAGAATCGTTTTGGGCGATTGTAGATTCTGAAACTATACCGTGACAAATATAGTTCGGAATAAAGAAAGACAAAAACATAATAAAAGCAAATGGTAGGTAAAGTGACATATATACGGAAAATCGTAGGTAGGTACTATGTATGTGATGTTATGGCAAAAAAAAACGAAATCAATAAAATAATTTAACTAAAATGAAAGATGTATATATATACAAGACTTATAAACAACATCAAAATATTATTACAAGTAATATATTAAAAGGCCGCAACAACAAGGTCGAAATTCAAATGAAACGACAAAGTGACATATGACATTTAAGCCACAAACTATAACCAAACTCTTTAGGCTTCCGAAGACACGTTAACGTAGTGATTATACAATTTTTACACTAATTAGCATATGATAACGTGTTTGAAGGTAATTTTATTGTAGCTGGCATTGGGTTTTAAGGTTGTCGTCATAAATATTGGCCTATATGGCTATCCCCTCACGTCAAATAGTCTATTTAATTTACCATAGTAATTAAAAAAATTAAGTTTTAAATTTTATAATGGCTAGTAAGAGATGCTGTTAGGACTATCTCGATGCTGTAGCGCGTCTAGAATATTTGTGAAAGCCAGTTTTCCTTTTTATTATGTGTCTGGTCGGCAAACGAGCAGATTGATTACCTGATGGTAAGCAATCAACATGGACACCCGCAACTACAGTGCAGTTACGAGTGCGTTCCCAATCTTTTGGGGATTTGAAGATTTAGGGGTTGATTGGCCCTCCGGTAACCTCACTCACACGGCGAAACACAACGCTGTGGTTGTATCACGCCAGTCTTCCGTGAGGCCGTGGTATCACTCCGGGCGAGGCAACCGATTCCCAATCCTTCCCCTCCCCCGATCCCCAAATCTCCAAATCACTAATTCCAAAAAGGTCGGCAACGCACTCGTATCTTCTCTGTTGCGGGGCTCCATGGGCGGCGCCGATTGCTTACGATGAGGTAATACATCTGCTCGTTTGCCTATAATACTATAAAAAAAATACTAATCGCCATCATCGTCATAGTCCAGTCAGTTAAGGTTTGTTAGCCAAGTAAAAACTACTGAACGGTTCAGATACAGATTAAAGTCTACAATAACACAACTACGGATGTAACCGCTTTTTTTGTGATGGGAAAATCATCAAATGACTTCTCCCGCCTAGTGTCAGACTCTTACTGACTAAAAACCCCCTGTTCCAACTACTGCTCTAGGCCGAGGTCGCGGTGCCTCATTGCGCTTACCCCGCAACCCCGGCTGACGGATGTAACCGCTCGTGGAAACTAATAGGTCATAATACTTTGTCTGTTTATTTTTTTTTTAAATAATTTATTCAGTAAAATTACAGAAAAGTGTCCTTATCATCTAAACTCGCCAAACTTTAACGTTTGATGGCGAGAGGCGCTCTTTATACAATAATATATTTATACATAATAGTGAATTTAGTGCAATTGGTGCAATGACTTGGGTCTTTTTCTTTAAAATTTAAATACCCCTATTTTTGCATACTATGTACTTATAGCTAGGTATGACACAGTTTATATAATAATAATTATTGACTAACATAACAAACAAAACATAAAAACACACACAAACATAACATTTTTACTTCTTATTAATAATCTAATATAAAGCTTTTTAATTTTGACTTAAGAGATCCTTTGGTTAACTTTTTCCCTTCTTCTCTTAGCATCTCTATTTTATTAAATATATTAGGAACTAAGTATGCGGATGTTCTCTTGCCATAATTCTCATATAGATTCTTTTTGAACAAAGCCACATGGCAACGTATATATATGTAGGTAACTGAAATAAACAAGATGGCCGTTATAATTAGGTAATTAATATAAGTGGTACGCATGCCGACCGGTCTTACGTCAGATTACATGTTACATACTAATATGTTATGTTAATTGGCTATTAAGGCTTTTTAGGACATTCCCATATAATAAGGTTAGGTAAGTAAATATAGAAATAATGTTAAGGAGTGTGTAGTTGGAAAACTCTCAGCCGGGGTTGCAGGTTAAGCGCAATGAGTCACCGCGGCCTCGGCTCAGAGCAGGAGAAATAACGGGGGGTTTTTAGTCAATAAAAGTCTAACACTCACTCTCGCCTTACCCTGGGCGGGAGAAGTCATTTGATGATTTTCCTCTGGCAAAAAAAGGATTAAAAACAATCCACACTTCTCTAAGAATAAATCGACTATGTTAAAACTGAATATA